CTTTGTTAAACTGTTTCCTTTGATTAAATCTGCAAGAACTCACCTCTGCCTCCCTGTCTCTGCATTTGGGTCCACAAACACCAACCAAGACGTGACAAAAGGCAACCGTGAACCAGCTCCACAGTTGGCCCCTTTCAGGAAAGACACAGCCAGACAAACTTGCTCTCAGCCAGCTCCCATGTCAGAGGATGAAAGAGAATACACGCAGTTAGTCACAGTCAGAGAAACAGGACAACACTGAAAAACAGGCCAAGCTTGAACATCTATAAAACAAAGTGTTGATGGCAGCAGCACAGATGGTGGCTCAATCCCAAACCAGCCCCTAAGCACTAACCCTCCATTTGCGCATTCCCAAATGGAGGGTTAGTGCTCAGGGTTAGTGCCTCTTTGCGGAGCCCACTAAGAGGCACAATCGGATTAATTGGGATACCATTTAATCAAGCTAAGACTGAACAGTAACAACGAAGCCACAGCAAGTTGTTTAAGCGTTAGCTGCCTGATATACTACAGTAACTTTATGAAAGAACAAAGCTGATCTGAATATATTCTGAATATATCTGAATATATTCAGATCACCCTGAAAAATCTGCAGTCACATCACCTACAAGGGCTGCAGACCAGAGAAAATAACCTTAAAGACCTTGAGAAAGTATTAAGATAGTTTAAAACAGTACGACCAAACCTGACCTTTACAGAAAAACAATACACATAAACCTTAAGGATCAAAGGCGCAGGAGGACAAAGCTTGCATGGGAAGCTTTAAAGTCATTGTGAAAGTTAAAGAATCTGCTCAGTGAGGCAATCCCAGGCATGGGCGAAAACAAAAAAGAAAAAGCAGGAGAATATTGAGACATACCAATGACTCAAACAAGAAACAGAGAAGTTCTGAAAAGTCAAGACCTCAGCTGAACCGATGGCCCCTGGAGCAAAGGTCCTCCATGGAGGTAAGGACCAGGCTCAGTTCAAAGCTGCAAAGAAACCATGCAACTTGTACAACTGAATCATAAACCAACTCTCTGGAAACATAACACCCTTTAAACATCTGCTTAAATTTTTCTTCTGCAGCCATTCTTTAATCTTAAGTCTTTTTGTGCATCCAAGGTTTTTGTAGATTCTTCAACACTTCCAGCTTCTGCAGTTGGATATTTAACAAAAAAATGGGCAGCTACAAAAACAAACTACTTTACTTCCACCTTTTTTTTAATAGTTTATAGAGCTTAACAGAAATGAAAGTTTTTACTCGCAGTGAAGCTCTAGTGCTTGAGACCTCCAGATTCTGTAAAATTAAAAGAAAGCGTAAAGTTTATAATTACAGCGTTTGTCTTTAGTATTCAAAATCTACTGTACAGTTCTCTACTGGTATCCATGTTACTGCTGTCTAAACTATCTTTTCTGTCCTTTGTTTGCAGTTGGCTTTGTTTCATTTTCAGAAACTGTACCTCCAAATGACCCAGACCTCCTCCGTGATGCATAAAGAAATCTATTCATTCAAGGTCAGTAATTATGTTTTTAAAAGAATTAAAAAGTGTTTGTTTTAAAAAAAGTTTTTACATCCCATATGTTATACAGTCTATTCTTTCTCCTAAAACAAAATGAAGCATGATGAGAGAAATCAGTTTAGACTGACAGCTTATCTGTTTCAGAGCATACGGGCCTTCATAGATCACACAATCTGATAAAATAGCTTAACATGTTCACATTTCGTCTACATCACGTAAATATTGTATTTTTATTCTTGTAGGGTGTCCTGAGTGTTTAGATCAGGGGTCCCCAAACGTTTTCCTGTGAGGGCCACATAACTTTTCCCTTCTCTGATGGGGGGCCGGGGTCAGTTTGTAACAGAAAAATTGTGACGATTGCAAGAGTGCCTAAATTTATGACGGGATTTATGTCTTTATGAGGGGAGTCATAGTGTCTCCGCAGGTTATATTCTTTGAATACCGCCACCGCCTCTTGACAGATGAGACAGACAGCCTTTTCTTTACATTGAACAAAAAAAAAAATATCGTTTTTCCAATTCAGGTTAAATGCCCTGCATTCTGGATCAATTTTTCTCTTACCTTTTCTTTTCGCTATTATTCTGTTCTCTCTTTACGGAAGAGGATTAGGGCCATTCAAAAGAAGAAAAAAAACAATTCAATTCTGACCCTTTTTTCTTAATTAAAGTCAGAATTCTGACTTTTTCCTCAGGATTCTGAGAATAAAGTCAGAATTCTGAGAAACAAGTCAGAATTGAATAGACTATTATTATTATTTTTTTTTTTTGAATGGCCCTAATCCTCTTCTGTAACTCTTTGAGAGGGGCGGTTTTAAGATTTTATGCTGGGGGTTGCCAGATAGGGGCACAGACCCCAAAAGGGTGGAACATTGTTGCGTTACATGTGTGAAATGAAATAGTTACTAATATTTAATAATGAAAAAACTTCATAATTAAGGAACATGTCCAACTTTAATATCAAATACAAAAAGCTATCTGAGCTATCTAAGGCTCCTAGACGCGTCTAAAATAAACCCCTAAAAATTGTAAAAGGGTGCAGCATCTGAATCGACAAACACATACATCCAAATCAGTAACCCTCTGCCACCATGCTTGACAGCTGATGTGATGAGTTTATGCAGATATTTTGTGTTAGTGTGAAGCATAGTGATACATATACATCCATCATCTATAATAAGAACGTAGTGGCAGATGTATTTTTTTTATTATTATTTCAAATCGAGACTTTAGCTTTTTTTATGTAAGTAAAAAAAAAAATGATAGAGGTTCTATAAACCCAACTATATAATCAAAGCCATATCAGTAACCTTTTCTTTTTACAATAACTGTTCACACAATTTGTGCATTTCTCTTTTATAGTTCAGTGAATCCAGAAACCTTTATAGATGTGGGTATGTATGTCTGTTTTTACCTAACAGTAGTTACAAACAGCAGTATTTATTTGGAGATCAGAAGTATAAACTTATATTTACTGATCATTTTAACTATTTTGTAAGCCATCTGAAAAGAAAACCTAAGTTAATCTGTTTGCTTTGTTTGTGTTCTCTCTGCAATTTTGGGAAGTTTTCCCACAGAATTCCAAACATAACCTTCCTAATACTTTCTTGTTTACAATATGTGGCAACACGTATTGTTAATCATGAACAAACTACGATGTTAAATATCATGTGCCTCTTAAAGATACACATTATGAAGGACATTATTAAGTGTTGCCCCTAAATGATCATTTTACTGAAACCTTGCTTTGCTGTAGTGAAATTATCTGATACTATTGGTTACAACCCTCAAAATATTACTGGTTAGTTTTTGTTTTTCTGTTACTGAGCAGCGTAATTCTGTCATCCTCTATTTTCCTAGTGATTATTTTGGGTTTCTTTCATGTAAAGTCTAAAAATACCTAATGCCTAAACAGAAACATGTCTTTTTATCCTGATAAATATCAGATTAAAGCATTTTCCTGCTTTTAGTGTGTTTTTCCGTAAACACTTTGACCATGATTGATTTTGATTAGCGTGGCTTTAGTGTTTGCTTCAAATAAACAGTAAGGGCAACATAATCACAGTGACGAAACTTAATCTGACCTGCATGGACTTACCAGAACAGATGGGCCCCTGCATATCACCGGTAAAAGGTTTGTATTTGAGCTTTCCGCTTTGTTTTAGTTTTGGTTATTGCTCTGTATTCCTCATCCTGGTTGACCCTTACCACACATCCTAAAGTTACAACACATCTTGTTTTTTCCCCTTAAAAAAAATAAAAATTCTGCTGAAACTACAATTATTAAATGGGCGTATGCCAATTTATAAATGCACAAAACTATTGCACAAAACGTACAAGTCACATTCACAGAGCCTGTAGAATGGCAGTTAAATTCCAGCTTCTCTCAAATTGCAACACAAAGCAGATTTTATGTGATGGACTAACACAATCCAGTCATTAACTGGCCTTCAAACCATCCAGAATCCATTTAGGGAACAAAGCAAGAAGGTGGAAGAAGGTGCTCTGAGACTAAATGAAACTTTCAGGGTAGTGGTTATTGCAAAAATAATAAAAGTAAAAACAGTTCAGAAGTGATGGGAAAGGAGATGAAACCGGGTAAGCCTATAAAAAATCTGTTATTTGCTAAATACAATCATGGGGCAGAGGTCCTGCTAGACAACAACCCTAAACAAACAGCCGGAACTACGCTTGGATCATTTAGTAATTTCCATGTGTTCAATTTTGTCTTTTCAAAGCCCAGACCTAAATCCAAGTCAAAGTTATTAGACTTAATGTTTACAGATGCTTACCATCCAGTGTGACTGAGATTCAGATGATACCTCCCTCCATACTTGTGAAGAACTTATAGAGATATACGGCGAAGGATTGACAGGTTGCAGTGAGAAACTTCATAAATACATCCTGCACTGATTATAATATGAAATACTTTTATGGCATTAAATACCAGCTACATGCATGAAAGATTTTGGTTTCCCAAATGTGGAAATCCAAGGTGTATGAATACTTTGGCAAGGCGTCATGCACGACCTGCAGGGTTGTTGTGGTAACCAGACAAAGGTTGAAAAAGTCTGAGTTGTGAAATCTTTTCAAAGCAGTTAAAATGTTCGGATCTTGCATTTCCATCAATTCGATTTTCTTTTTACACTGTCTGCACATTTGGAGAAAAAAAAAAAATGTTTTTCTTGTTTTTACTGTTTTCTCGTGAATATAAAACCATGTGCAGTGAATAAATAGTGCAACGATTCTTTGCATTCACTTAATTATATTTAATTACTTGAACACATTTTTTGGGGGTAGGACATGAAACAAATTTGTTAAAGTAACTAAATATGATTAAGTAGATGCCAAAATCAGTTGCATTGTATTTGTTCAGTGTCTCTCTCTAGCCCGTTCCCTTTTAACCTATTTGAAGTAGCAAGTGTCAATTTGCTCCTCCCTTCCTGGGAAAGCCCACTCCATCTCACACTGTTACTCACCCAGGGGGTGAAATATAAAGCACATTTCTGGTGCTACTGCAGGTCATTAATGTTTAGGAGAAGGAACAATGGCTGGAGGTTCTCGCTTCTTGTTTGCCTTTCTTCTCTTCTGTGTTTTTGATGCATTTGACAACAGACTAGGTAAGAGGCTCTACTTTCTGGTGGATATAAAATATTAAAAATGCTGTGAAATCTTATTTTTAATGGTGATTTTCCTGTTTTCAGTGCCATACAATGTGGGGGATTGCACTGGTAAGTCCTTCTTTATATGGAGGCTTCAGGATCCTTAATTTTGCTGTTCAACTGTAATTAAGCTGACATACACTTTTGTTTGTCAGAGATGAGAGAAAAGTTGGATTCTGTGACCACACAGCTCCAGGAAACAACCCGGCATAACAGCCAGCTGGGTGAGTAGACAGCATATCCTTCATGGGTTGAAATGCCTTTTGCAGCTTTGCTATGCTTCATCCTGCACACTCCCTCACAGATGGGGAAGCCCTGGTGTTAAGGAGGGAGGTCGGGAAGCTGAAGCTCCAACTCTCCACTTGCAGTTCTGTGTTGCCGTACATCAGTACCTGTAAGACTTTTAAACCCTATACTACAGCATCTTTACAGGTGAATTCAACAAGCACAAATTTAAAAATGTTTATACAATTCCCTGGCAGCACATTTCACCCAGCTGCAGAAGGAAATGATTAACCTGCTTGAAGCCATTGATAGTGAGATGTCTAAAGGTGAGACTTCCTGAAACACAATTTGACCTGCAAGTTTGTTCATTTCTGCCTCTAGGCACAGCGCATTTTAAAAATCCAATAATAAAAAAATATATTTCTCCTAGTTTTAAAGATCACGGCACTGACCTGGCATGTTAAAGCTTTCCAGAGGAGTGTTGAATCTGCTTCCAACTCAACTGAAACTGAGATAAGAGGTGAGCACTTTGGTAGATAGATAGATAGATAGATAGATAGATAGATAGATAGATAGATAGATAGATAGATAGATAGATAGATAGATAGATAGATAGA